GGCGAAGGTTCTTTTACCAGAGCTGAAGTTGCTTGAACAGTCCTGGCATTGATTCTGCCCAGCGGACCCTGGGTATGGTCAATAGCTCCAAAGAACGTAAGACAACTTTCTCACAGAGGGCAGGACGGCTCCTCAGAGTCCGTGAATTTAGTTCCTAAGCATGATCGCTCCAAAGAGCCCTTGCCCTAAGTCAACAAACCAGTCCAGGAACCGTGAAACCTCCGGACTGCCCTAGGCAGCCTCATTTTACCACATTCAGATTCCATTTTGTGTCAGGATCATTAGGGTGATGGCTACTGCATAGGGCCAGGGGCTCTGGAACCAGGCTGCCTGGGGCTAACAAGTTCTGAAGCCTTGGAAAGCCCGTTTGATGGAGGTTTATCACCTGTCAAACTAAGTTGATAACCTCAAGTAAAGGCATCATAGAGTTGCTAGAAAAAATCAATATACTGGCCCTCCCTGGTGGTGCACAGGTTAGGACGCAGCGCTGCAAGCTGGTCACAGCAGCTTCACTGCAAGTTTGATCCCCGCCTGCCCCGGTGCTGACCCACATGGACCTCTCCTGACCCGCCGGCTGCTCCCCTCAGCGGTGTACTTTGTCCATCTGCCTGTTCTGCTCCCCACGCTGTCTCTGGTGAAGCCTCTCACCGCCCCTGAGTCTCTGGCCTGTACCCCAGTTCTGTATGCACAAATAAATAAATCTTAAAAGGAAAAAAGGAAAAAGCAAGATTTACTTATAAAAATTCAATATAGTGTGTAAGGTGTATAGACCAGTGACCGGCATAAAGCAAGTGTCCAGCGAGTGCCAGCGCCGATGAGCCCTCCGCCGCTCTGATTGATCCCCACCTTGCACTCCTGTGTCCTGCTTTCATCAAATGCCTCTTTCCTGAGGCAACTGTACATTGCATTCTCTAAGGCTCTCCCGGGCATGAAAGGGAGCTCTGGTCCACTCCCCACTACCGAAAAAGACATCACTGCTCCAAGAAACATTAACAATAGGTCCCCATATTGGACATTTATTATATGCCAAGTTCCTGGCTCTCACCACCATTCACTGAGTAGGAGCGTCCTGTAACAATTCTCCTTTCACAGAGGAGGAAATGAAGGCTCAGGGAGGTAAAGTGATGGACCCCAAGCCACACAATACCAAGGCTGACAGTTAGAGCTACCCACTGCTCAGGTCAGGTGGGGCTTGATCCCGGCCCTTCTGGGCTGAGCCTGAGGGGACGGTGAGTAGTAAGCAGGTGATGGAAGGATGAGCTGTTGTCTGGAGCCCAAGGTGGTGATGGACCAACAGCCAGAGGTGAAGAATCAAACCTGCTCAGCCTGCACCCTGCCTCCCTCCACCTTCTAAAACTGTCTTGTGCTAAGGTGCGGGCCAGTAGGCTGGACCTGCTGTTTGGGGGGCTGGATGAGCCCCCAACAGTGCACCCACCCAGGGAGATGGCACAGATGGTTCCCTCCTGGGTCAGCAGTGACTCAGATGGGGAGGTGTCTGCCCTCCTCCTCCTACAAGGTGGGGCTGCCTGGCGGGGATGGGGGGACACAGCCAGTTAGGCCCAGAGAGGGCTCCCCTAGCTGTGTTCCTGGAGAACCTAGGGAGGTGGCCCTGCAAGTGTGTGTGCAGGATTCAGGTCCCCTTACACTTGGGGTCCCGCCCCAACTGTCACCGGAACTTTCCCTTGACCCTTCTGAATATGTTTCCTTACCCATAAAAATAGTATCAGGACCAGTCGCGGAATCAAGGACCCAGTAAGTGCTCAATAAACGCTGGGTCTCTCCCAACTCAGCACAGCCCACCGCCCTCCTGGGCTCCCTGGCTCTCCACCCACTGAGGCATCGTCAGTGCCAGAGGGAGTGGCGTGGACTTGGGGGAATCACTTCACCTATCTGAACCCTGGCTTCCCTGGAAGAGAAAGCAGGCTGGCGAGGCGTCGCTCCTCCCTGACACACTAACTGCACATTGAGTCTGTCACAAGCAATGGGTGAAAGACCCTACATGGTTAATCTCATTTCTGCAGTGGTAAGCACTGTCGCCCCCCACATGACAGAAGAGGAAACTGAGGCTCAGAAAAGTGCCAGCCGTGTCTTCCAGCACCAGCCCAGGCAATGGTACAACAAGGATTTGAACTTAAGAGGGCTGACTCCAGAAAGGTCCATCAATCTGCCAGCTCAATACTGGGGTCCTGGTGAGGTTGGGGTCCCTACCTGCTTCCGGGAGTTGAGGGCGCCTCTCTTGCTCCAGGAGGAGAAGCGTAATCGGCCTGCGGGGCCGCCCTGGTGCACGGAGCTGGAGTCGGAGGCGCGTCCCAGGTGTGCAGGTGGCAGCGGCCCCGCGAAGAGCACGCAGTGCTTTGAGTGAGTAGAAGCCGGTGGCGCATAGCAAAGTGCGAAGTCCAGAAAGTGGACGGGCAGGTAGACCGCGCGCAACACACGGTAGCCACACTGCACCTGCACGCCGTCGGCTTACGCCTCCTTGCGCGTGTCTGCCAGGAAGAGCCAGAGCACGCGGTAGGCACCCGTGCCCATCCACGCCAACGCCGAGACGCGCTCGGCCCGCGCCACGGCGCACAGAGCCTGGGCGCGCAGCGGAAGGCAGAGGGCGAGGTGGTGCTCCACGGTGAACGCGGTGATGGAACCTGAGGACGCGTTGATGCCCACGTACTGCAGATAGGTGATGCCCAGGCAGCCTGCGTGGCCGAAGACCCAAACCCGGGTGGACGCCGCCTCAGCCACGGTGGGCACTCCCGCTGTCAGGAGCACCAGCCGGTGGGCGGCGGCCAGGCTCACCAGGTAACAGTTGGTGGGTGTGGCCATGTGGCGGCCAGGACCACCACCAGGACCACTATAACGTTGCCCGCCACACCCACGGCGCACACGAGGGGTATCAGGGTCAAGGTCACCGCTTGTACTGCCACGGGAGGCCGGGGCATGATGCCCAGTTCCGACGAGTTCGCTTGCTCAGGGTGCTCGGTGGGGTTCTCCATGCGCCCCAGGCAGCAGCGCGTTGGGGACTTACTGCACAGATGACTTCGTGGGGCTTTTGGGGTGCTCTCTTTGCGGGAAGCCGCGGGTCCCACAGCAGACGCCAGCTGAACTGGTTCTCCAGCTCCGGGAGATCTCACAGGCGTGGCGCGGGCGCTGGCGACCGTGAGGAGGAATCAGGGGAGCGCGCGCGGCCTTTTTGCTTGAATTGGAGCGATCTCTCCCGGCACGGGGTTTGCTGCCAGGGCGTGTCTGGGCTGCAGAGTTGAGCTCAGACCCGGGTCTGAGAACCCGAGAGCCGCCTCCTCCAGGGCAGGCTGCTCCCGCCCTCTGCAGGTCCCCGGGAGTCTGAAGCCCAAGCCCAGCGGGTGGGGCGCAGCGCGGGCGGTTGGCTCTCCACCTCGGGGTTCAGCGACCCCTCTGCTGCCAGTCCCAGACGCTTGGCTGATGTGGTGGCCACAGCCCAGCGCCCAGTTCTTCCCCACCAGCTCCACAGCCTGGGCGTTCCGGGCCGGGGCAGGGGGACGCAGGGGTGCTCAAAGGAAGCGGGACGCCGGGACGCCGGGACGCCGGGACGCCGGGACGCCGGGACGCCTGGCCTCTGCTCCCCCTCCTTGGCCTTGGGTTTCTGCTCCCTCCCTTCCCTCCTGCTCACTCTCCCCCACCCCCCAACCCCCGCAGGTCTCCAGGGGCAGCACTTCCGCAAGGGGGGAGGAGTCAGCGACCCCAGCTTCCGACCCTATTCAGGAAACGCACCTGTTTCCGCCTTAGCCCGGCCATTGGCGAGTGGCTCCTGAGGCCCCAGCCCTGGGGAAGAGGAGGCGTCGCCCATCCAGACTAAGGATGGCCCTGTCTCCTCTTAAACGCCTGTCTCTTGCTCTGCGCTCTCTCCTGCTTACTCTCCGGGGTTCTCTACCTCCTCACTAAGACCTACCTATACTTTCTTGACTCGTGTTCGGCGCCTTCCCACAGGCCTTCTCACGGCTCTAAGATGGTGCCGCCCCCTCAGCACACAGGGGTTAGCAGTCTTTAGCTCTGTATCTGCCCTAAAAGGGGCATGGTGGTATTGAGTGAATGAAAGAACTTGTTTCTGCACTGAAAGAAGCTCCCCGCAGGTGAGGCCACCGCTTCAGGGTGGCTTCCCCAGAGCCTTGCTCTGCGCCTGCGCGCAGCAGATGTCATCGTAACAATTGGCTGCTGTACCCGATGATCTCTTGTGCTCTCTGGGAATACGTGGACATACAGTAACTGTTTCCATCTGTGCAGTTGAATGCTGATAACAACCGAAGTCACCTCAGAGAGTCCTAGGGAGGGTTTCATGAGTGACTTAAGGAAAATCCGTATGAATTGCTTAGCTCTGCACTGGACGCTTCCAGCCCAACACAGACTTCAGAGCCAGGGCTATTGTGGGCCTGAGGGGTGGTGGGGAGGGGGTACGGGGCTGCTGCTGCTGGCAGAGAGGAGGCTCTGCTAGCCGTTGAGGGTGCTCATTCTCATGCATCTGTGGACACTTGCTAAATAGGTGGAGTAAACAAGGAAGCTGCAGAGCTGCACCATCATTTAAAATGCAGCAGGATATATTCCCATTTCTGCATTCTGTGCGCATATCCAACTCGCATGGACAGATACCGGGATGGTGCCCACCTCTGGTCACCTTCTGGGAATTGCCCGTCTGCTGGGTGAGGAGGCAAACAGGGCGGTGGTCCATGGGAACTTCACCCAACAGCAAGTGAACAAACCAAACCCTTAGACTCTGGCAGCAGCATGGGGTCACCAGGAGGGAAGGGAGGGAAGGGAAGGGGGAGAGAAGGCTGGGGGTCTGGGATAGATGTGGCTGGACAGTAGGTGGTGGCGTGGCCGGGTAAAGATATTCTTCCAGATTCTATTCAGTGTTGTAAATAAAGAATAAATGAAAAGAAAAACAGAATGCAGCCCTCCCTGGTGGCGCAGCGGGTTACCAAGAAGCTAAAGCCACTGCAGCATGAGCTCAATCCCTGCCCCCGGAGCTGACCCACATGGCGCGGCAGACCTCTCCTGACCCGCCCGCTGCTCCCCTCAGTAGTATGCTTCGTCGATCTGCCTGTTCTGCTCCCCACTCTGTCTCTGGGGAAGCCTCTCACCACCCCTGCACCTCTGACCTGTACCCAGTTCTGTGTGCATAAATAAATAAATCTTAAAAAAAAAAAAAAAACAGAATGCAGGTGGACTTTCCCCTTACTGAAGAGGACAGTTAAGCCCATGGGCTCTTCGTGTCACATGACTTGGGCTTAAATCCTGCTGCTACAGCTTTTCTGTTAATGATGTGACTTGAAGCAAAAGACTTCACCTCTCTGAGTCTCCGTTTTTCAGCTCAGCAATAATACCCTCTAGCTCGTATACTTGAGGTTTAATTAAGATGATGCACAGGAAGATTTTAGTGGGGTTTTGGGCACCTGATGGTGGCTGAGCAGCCCGTGCAGCCGTGACCGAGGCTGGGGACGCTCCTCCCAGCCCATCCAGAGACATCCCGTGGTGGTTTGCAACTGCCGGTGGAAGGGTTTGTGCCACAGAAATCAGCTGACACCACACACAAGGGAGCCTGCATTTATTTTTAGCAGTTGTTAAGCATTTTGTGCACACCCCAATACCTCCTGTGGCCCCGCAAACACCGGCTATTATTATCGGTGACATTCTGAAGAGGACTCATGTATCACTTGTGCAATTTAACAAGGAAAAAAATGTGTGGATGAATCACCGCTGAACAAACAAGCAGCTTTGTGGGAAAGGCAGCACTTGTGGGTGCGTGTTGTGGGTGACCCCGGAGGTCCCCAGCCACCCACAAGCACCAGCTCCTGGGAGCTGGTGAGAAAGCGGCTGGCGCTGGCCCGGCTCACCCAGCTGACTCAGCCTAAAAGCTCCTCAGAGCTGGGGGCTAGGGGAGGAGGGGTGCCGGGGTCTCTGCTCCGTCCTTCTGCACACCCAGTCACCTGGCCTGGGAGCCCCGGGTTGGCACTGCACCGGTGAGCCCCCGGCCCCCCAGCAAGTGTGCCCCGCAGGGCGTCCTGTGGGCGGGCCCCTCGGAGTCCTGCCTGGCTGTCAAACAAATACTTTGCAGCAACAGAAACCAAGAGGGTCATTTTACTTTTACTGGGTTCCTTAAGAAATCCCTAAGTCGGCCCTCCCTGGTGGCGCAGCGGGTTAAAGCACAGCACTGAGAATCTAAAGCCGCTTCCGCATGGGTTCGATTCCCGCCTGCCCCGGAGGTGACCACATGGCGCAGCAGACCTCTCCTGACCCGCCTGCTGCTCCCCTCAGCAGTGGACTTCGTAGATCTGCCTGTTCTGCTCCCCACTCTGTCTCTGGTGAAGCCTCTCACCGCCCCTGAGCCTCTGGCCTGTACCCCAGTTCTGTATGCACAAATAAATAAATTAAAAAAAAAAAAAAAGAAATCCCTAAGTGGGGTAACACCCCACTCCTCCAGGCAGTGACACCTCCTGGGGACCCCTCTTTCTTTCCTTATCTCTGCCCTGCCTGACACCTGTCCATCTCCAGGGCAGTGACCCCTGACCCACTCTCCTTTTCAATTTGTTCTGTCCCAACTAGGGCTTTTTTTTTTTTTTTAACTATGCAATTAAGAGATTTAACTAGCATTTATAGATCTCTGCACACAACTATTAGCTAATATACATCTGTCCAAAACCACATGGTACGTTTAAAAATATGAATGATATAAGACATCAGAATCCCAAGAGAAATTTAAAGATGTGTAGCATATACATGGTGTTCTGACTACAATATCAAATTTAATATCAATGATTAAAAGGCAAAACAGATAACCACTTTTAGCAATGTAAACAACAGTGTGATTTTTGGGACTGGACTTTTAAAATTTTCTTATGTTGTCCACTTTGTACAATATGTGATTTTTTAAACACCAGAGTCTAAACTAGAACAGGGTGGGTGGTGTAGAAAATATCTAGCTACGTTGTGCAACTTAACAACCGCGTTTTCCACTCAATTTTTATTTCCACTGGGCATGTGTATACATCTTTATTCTTCTCTGCAAAGGTAAAGTGATTTTCCTGTGGGTGGAACTCAAAAAACAATTTCAAAGGCATAGTTTTGGCATGTCTTTCCACAGGACAGAGATTGGAAAGCAGAAAATGGCATTTGCAGGAGTCTCTGGGGCCCGGGGTGATGGGGTTCCACCATCCCAGGAGCCTGGGTGAGATCTGGATGTGGGAGGAAGCAGACACTCAGTGTCTGCCAGTCTCTCTCTGCCTACGCTGCTTCCTGGGAGCCAGGTCCCATGGACAGCTGAAGGCTGCATATAAACACACATGTATATCCACAGAGATGTTAAGCTGTCATAACTAAGTCAGAGGGTTCAGGAGCATAAAAACAAGTTCCAGAGGGTTCAAACATTTTTTTTTTTTTAAAGAGGGAGCTTATTAGAAAGAGACAGGAGAGAGAAAGACACTTGGTGAGGTGCACGTGGGCAGGAAGAGCTGCCCCGAAAGGGACAGGCTTGCCGGGAGAGGCCTGCATGGTGGCTAGGCGGGTGGTTTTAGGAGTGTGGCCTCCACTGAGGGAGGCCAGAGCAGAGAAGTCCCGGCATGGTGCAGGTCCTGGGCAAGCAGGTGGCTGCTGCCCTGCAGAGGGAGAGAGCGGGTGGGAAGAAGCACCTGTATAGGCACAGGTGGGCCGAGGAGCGGCTGCCCAGACATATTCTTGATGCCAAGTCTGCTCCACCAGGTAAAGGCACTGGGGCAGAGAGAGCCCTGGTGGCCTCCCGGGCGAGCCAGCTGCTCCACCCTTCCCTGCCTTCGCCTACAGCAAGGCCCACCTTGCCCAGCATCTCTCCACCCTCCCCAATTTCTGTGTGAATTGTAGGTACAGCGATTGCCACCCAGCCTCCTTATGAAGACGCAGACTCAGAGAGGTGAAGCAGCTCGCCCAGGGCCACACAGGAAAGCAGCAGGAGGGGCTGGGTGACCACTCAGCAGGACACCGCGGGGCTTTCTCCACCGCCCCGCTGCTCTCTGTTCTTCAAAGGGAGCTGCCAGCACTTGGGGGTGCCTGCTGGCAGGCCCCAGGGGTCGGGAGCTGGGGGGCTCCCAAGGGCGGCTGCTGGCCTCGGTGGTCCCTGTCGTATCTTCGCTGGAGCCGGGCCAGAAGGTGGCGGGTCCTCAGTGCCTCCTGGTCCGGGAAGAAGGAGGCGGCGATGGTGTGTCGCAGGCGGCGCGCGTAGGTCTCCAGGAGCACGGTGGAGCCGGCCACCAGCTGCAGCACTCCCACAGCCAGGGCCGTGGCCCAGTACGGGTACCGGGCGGGCAGCAGAGGGCAGCGGGGGGAAGTGAGGCGGACCTCCCACCGGAACTTGCGCGCGGAGAGGAAGGTGCTCTCCAGGGGCGGCTGGTTGAAGAGGAAGGGGAGGAAGTCCATGACCGTGTACACGGCCTTCAAAAAGGAGAAAAAGGCCAATCAGCACCTGGACTCCGGCCGCGCCCCCCAGTCCCGCACCTGCAGGTGCCGGCTAGGCCAGGCAAACTCAACTTTCCCTGCAGTTGTCTGCAAAATGGGGACAGAAGCAACCCTTGCCTTCTGGGGGTTGCAGAGGGTCAAATGAGGTCAGGTGTCTGGAGCGGGGCTTTTGGTGAAATGCAAACACCATGAAAATGCGATTTGTATCATTGCTCTCGCTGAACAGAATGCTTTCAGGAAAACGCGCCCACCGGAGGGGTGTTTACCTGGGGAGCCCTCCTTAGCGAATACTTGAGATGTTCTTTAGGGAATCTTCCCGAATTGACTTTATTATTTTTCTTTTTCTCCACAATGAGAAAGACTTGATGAGCTACATCCATGTTAAATAGGTGAACGCTTTTACGTGTACATAGTTAAAACTCTAAATGACAAGATGTTGTGTCTTAACAGCTTCCCCGTCCCTAGAATACACAGAATAACGCTGTGACTCAAGGTCAAGGGACACTTTAGACACCATGAGACCCAGGAACCAGGTGACACACACTGCAGACGCTGCCTGTCGCGCTCTCTGCCCGAGGGGAAGTGCGTCTTCTGGCACATTCTCTCCACGGATTACGGTGTGATTGAGGAAAGAATGCATAAAATAATCCATACAACTGTCACTGATGATTTACTCGCATACATTCCTGTATTCCTAGTCCAATCTACTTCATTTTTTTAAAGGTTCGGTTTAAATTTAAACCTAAATTGATTTTGTGCTGTCTGGAGACCACATTCTCTTATATAACAAGTACTCAGTAAATACTAGTTATTATCAGCCCAGGGTCACTGGCTGCTGTGTGAGAGCTCACCATTAAAACTAAAAAAGATTTGCGGTAACAGAAAGGATTGAAAACCATAAATCTTGATCAGCTTGTAAATATAGCCCATGTTACCTCGGCAGTAAATATCTAAGATAAATATCTAAGCTCTCACTATTAGAATAGTAAGGATTTTAGACTTTGTGGGCCGACAGCCTGCTATAACCACCCAGGCTTGTCTTCACCGAGCAGCCACGGAGAACACACACAAATGGCTCTTACTAAGTAAATAAAACTTAATTATAAACAAATGAAACTTAATTTGCAAAAACAGGACTTGGCCCTGGGTGGACTCTTGACGTAGAGGTATACAGAGAGACGCTGCTGAATGTTTACTAAACTACTGAGCATCTCGTAGGTGCCAGGGAGCTCACCAAACACCTTCAGAGATACACATTTTAAGACAAAATGACTTTGAGGGGCAAGGGGGATTGATCCAATTTGCACAAGAGGAAACTGAGGCAAGGATGTGTTACCTCGTGTGACGTGCAACCTTGTGGGGGCGGGCAGCTTATTGTGACATCTCTGGGTGTCAGCGTCCTCACCTGCATGGGTGGGGGGGATGGACCCAGAACCCACATCTTCTGGCTGTTGTGGGTGTGAAATGAACTCATCTGCTGATGCACCAGGGTCCCCGCTTATCCCGGTTGCTTGACTAGGTGGGGAGGAAACTCCAGTTTGAGTCAAGGGTTTCACCAACTCTTCCCCTTCCCAGAATCCCACAATGGCACTTACATTATACTCAGCTGTGAGTGTGATGGGTACAGCGGGCAGCTTCTGAGCCCAGTCCACGGTCGCCTGGGCCAGGAGGAAGGCCATGTGGTCTGTGGCCACCATCATCGCTGTGGCCACCAGGAGCAGAGCGAGCAGACGCAGCTTCAGGAGACACCTTAGCAGCTCCCACCGGGACAGCCTCGGCTGGGTAGCCGGGAGCAGCCAGGCTGGCGGAGAGGCCACCAGGTGCGTGATCTGGGCCTCTGCCAGGTGCCGGTACAGCTGCCTTGTGGCATAGGTATTATCGAACTGCAGGTCGGTCAGGTAGCGATAAAGGTACCAGGCCGAGTCCAGTGGGAGGCCCAGCATAAAGAGCCCCGTGAACACCCACTGGGTCCCCCTTGCTGCCCCCAGGGCCAGGGACTCCAGGCTAGAGAAGTCCTCCTGGACCTGCTGAGTGACCTTGAGCATGTGCAGCCAGAGGGCAGAGCCATTGCCCTGGGCCTGGAACGTCAGGCGCTTGTTGCCCACGTGGTCCCTGGGGCCCAGAGCCCTGGACGCCGTTTGCAGGTGGTGAGTGGTGTTGAGTAGACTCTCCAGGGAGCCCTCAGTGATGCACCTCAGCACCTGCCCAGCTGCACCCAAGTTGGCCAGGACGCTGGGCACCACGGTGTCAGCCAGGATGGCCGTGCTGCAGGACAGGAGCAGGCAGCGGCCCTGGGCCATGCACAGGGCGGGCACACTGAGCGCAAGCAGGCAGCGGGCAGGGTGTACCAGCACCAGGCCCAGGGACAGCAGGGAGCCGCAGACAGCAGCCGCCACGGCCGAGGGCCCCAGGGGATAAAACGGGAAGGACACCACCCAGTGGTGGGCCAGACCTGTGGCCGCAGCAGCCAGGGATCCGCACAGGAGAAGCTGGGTCAGCAGCTGGCCACGGCCGGCTGGGACAGGCCGGGAGAAGGCGACTAAGGCATCCTGCAGCAGGGCCAGGGCCTTGCAGAGCTCCGCATGCCAGAAACTCCACCTGGGCCGAGGAGATCGGAGAAGCGCTGTCAGAAGCTCTAGCAGCTGCTTGGGCTCCAGTCCTGTGCCCTGCTGACCGACTGTGTGACCATGGTTAAGTTTCCTACCCTCTCTGTGCTTCAGTTTTCTCCTCTGGAAAATGGTACAGTGAGTGCATCGCTCGTCGGGTCCTGTGTCCGGGCATGTGTCGGATGTTGGTGATGAGACACTGACAATTTGTATCTGTCACTGGAGCATCTGTTCTACCAGGGGCCGGGTCCCTTTTCTATATCTCAACTGCGTAGAATAGTGTCTGGCGAGTGGCAGACCCTTCATACATGTTTGTCTACTGTAGCAAAACTGCTTGTTTGCGCAGGGCACCAGGAAGTGAGATCAGCACTGACGGTGAAGATGCTGGCGGGGCAGGAGTTATAGACAAAGAAGAAGGCGTAAGTAGCTGGCCAGGACAGTGGGAGAAGAAATGAGCTAGGGAAAGCACTGAGGACCCCCTGATGTCACAGGGCAGCTGGTGTGGTTATAGGGACTAATAGGACTCTTCTTGGGGAGGCTGTCCCCTTGCTGGGTACAGACAACCCCCCTGAGTTCTGCCATCTTCCTTGAGCCAGGGACTGGCACCTCCCCCATGCTGGACCAATGAGAGCTGATTTGCTGGAACAGTGGGGAAGGACACCTCCTCTGGAGAGAGATGCTGGGAGCTTTGGGGTCCCCCACGTAGTGTGAGTCTGCCTGGCATGAAGAGAACTCAGGAAGACAGAGCTAAGAAACAGAGCTAGAGCATCAGAGGGACCCCGGGCGGGCCTGGATCAGGCCACACCCGAAGCCGGGTCTGCGCTGGCTCATGCTGCAGCAAGGACAGAGAACGTTTTCCCTTAAGTCAGTGTGAAATGAATCTCTGGCACAATTAAACAGGTCCTGATTAATACGGATCCTGTGTACAGTGGCCCTGTGACAACACGGAGTAATGAAGGTGAAGGCACTAGACAGAGTCTGGCACAGAGAGGGACCCTGAACAAATTCTATTGTTGATGATGATGATGTAAACATTCACGCCATTCTCTTTACACCAGCTCTGTGTTGACCCCTGTGACTATCAAGATGAATTAAGTCATGTCTATAGACACTTGCCTGTCTTTCCACGGCCTGACTGAGAAAAGACACCAGTTAATTGGAGCTTAATGCCATTAAAGAAGACCCCTCAGTGGGACCCCCTGGGCCAGGGCAGAGTAAGAGGAGAGGAACTAAACTTTACCTGGAGAGCCAGGAAGTCTACCTGGAAGAGGTGGCATTCAAGTGTGGGCTGGGAGGACAAACATCAGCTCTTAGTGTGGGAGGGAGATTGGGCACCCCAACAGAAGGAGTAAAGCCCTGAGGTCTGCCCCCCCAACCCAAAGGAAATGGGGAGTCGGGGGAACTAGCGCACAGAGGGGAGCTGAGGTGGGTGAGGCCGGCTGGGCCGAGCAGAGGCCACAGCCAAGGTTCTGCGTGCGGTGTGTTAGCTGCCTCCATTTGGAAATCAGGGATTTTTATCTTAAAATCCACATTTCCAGTTTTTCTTAAAAACTGGAGGACCTAGGTTCAAGGAGCCCCCACCTTTGTGGCAGAATGTGGGGCTGAGTGTCCACTGCTCCCCTAAACAGGGTGCACGGCTGAAGTACCCCCCACTCACCAGGGGCCTCCCCTTCCTTCCTCTGCAGGCACCTGAGTTTGGGACTAAAGCCCGTCCACTCGAGAACTGGTGTTTGCAACATGGAAACGGTCGGTGACAGCTAGACAGGAAAGCGGCCAGGGGGGAGTGTCACGGCCGGGCCCAGTCGGAAGGACGGGAAAGCAGCTGATACTCACAGACGTTATTACTCTTGCTTCACGGATGGGGAAACTGAGGCTCAAAGAGGTGAGGGCTGACCCAGGGTCATACAACCGGGGATGGCAGAGCCCGAGGCGCACGCCCCTCTCGCCCACCCGCTGACCACTGTGGCCCCCAGGCCAGGCACCGGACCTACCAGGCCCTGCAGATCTGCTCAGCCGCCTCCCGGGGTGCCCTCATGCCTCTGAACAGCCTCTGTCTGGGTGGGGGTCCAGGCAGCAATGGCCGGAAGACAGGAAGTGTGTCCTCTGGGGAGCTGTGTCCTCCAGGACTTGGCCACTTCTGCTTTTCCACCCTTTAATAATCCTCTGCAAGGCGTGCCCTGGGGGTTGGACAGCTGCCTCTTCCCCAGCCTCCAGCCTCAGGGTGCAGAGGTGTGGGAGGAGAGGAAGCGCCTGCTGCCTGCAGCCTCTGGCGCTCACTGCAGGGAGTGGAGCTGGCCCCATTTTACAGAGCAGAAACTGAGGCTCTGCAAAGCCATCCAACTTTAGGGGTGGTGCTGGGACCAGCACCCTGCTTGCCAGCCCTGCCCCCCCTTGCAAAGTGTAGGCCCCACTGGGGCCTGGTCCCTAACTCTAGGTGGCGGGGGAGGGAGGGCAGGAACTCTGAGGCTCTCTGTCTAAAGGGGACCTGCCTGGCTTCAAGTCACAGCTGTGCAGCCTTGAGAGACGAGACCTCCCCCCCCACAGCCGTTACTATTACTCACAGACGCTGGTATTATTAGTCTGTTTCCTCCTCCTACTAAAGAGCAGAAATAACAGCATTTACCTCGCACTTACTCGCTTCAGGAGTGCTTCCGAACCGCTCTGCAAACTCACTGCCCGGCAGTCATTGCGGGCAGTCATTGTTCTATTCTTCAGCTGTGAAAACAACTGAGACTCAGCCCCTTGACCGAGCCATCAGCTCCTAAGGGGGAGATGAGTCACTATGGCCCACGCTCCAGAGCTGCGGGGGTGGGGGGGCCCGCCAGGGGCTAGGGAGGACATCTTGCCTGGGTCACTTGCTGGGGTCTGAGAGAGGGTAGCTGACGGGAAAACGGGAAAGTGGCATTCTCACTGTCATACACCGAATAAACTCCTGTGGCCTTGGGGGTTAGCGCCCTTCCCAAATCATGAGCCTCCCCCGAAGCTGCCGCGACTGCCAAGAAAGGGGCGCACGGTACAGACCGGAGCAGGAGGTGCCCGCACCTCAGGCGGGGGGTGGGGAGCAGCGGCGAGCCAGGCGAGCCAGGCGCAGGCCTGTGGCACCGGAAATCGGCTACTTTGCTGCCAGTGAGGGCTGAAAGGAGGCCGGACAGCCCCAGATTTTCCAGTTTTCCAAAGGGACCAGTTGTTCCCATTTTTATTCAAAGGCCTCCAAGTTTTTAAAGTCAAAATTGAAAAAAAGAAAAGAAAGGAAAGACCGTCATGTAGACCAACCTCAACAGGCCAAAGCCTACTCGAGGACCACCGAGTCACCTCTGCGGGGTGCAAGGGGGCACCCAGCTGTTCCTCTGCACCGCAGGGGCCCTGGGCTGGAGGCAGCTGATCTGGACTTGACCTGTGCTGGTGTTTACTGTGCTGTGTGACCTTGGGCAGGACGCTGTCCCTCTCTGAGCGTGTGTGTGCATGGCTCCAATGAGGAGACTGCTACCCCTCTTCTCAGGGTTGTTTGAGGGTGAGTGAGGTAATGTACACAACAGCCCGGGGATGCCAGCTAACTGTTGCCACCCTTGCCCTCGGCTGCTGGCCCACACCTCCATAGCGTGCTCAGGGCCAACTCCCTGGTCCCTCCACACAGGCAACTTGGGGCACTATGAGAGGAGGGGAGTCCTGGAAGACCCAGAACTGGCCTAGTTTCTGCATAGGCAGCGGGGGGCGGGTAGGTTGAGGACAGTATGTGCCATTGTCTCAGGGACCCTGGGGGGTGGGGTGAGGGCCAGGAGGTGAGAGAGTACAGGGGAACGGGCAGAGGCCGTCCGGCTTTCCCAGCACACAAAGGCAGTCCCTTCTGCCGATAGCAAGGCCCACAACTTCCGGGAGAGCCTTCTGGGTCTCCAAATATAGGTGCAGCTTCATGGAGGGGAACTTGAGGGAGGATTCAGAGCCATAAGACAGAGCAGGGAGGGAAGTGGCAGCCTTCGGAGCTGCAGTCGGCCGCCGCCGAGGCCCCACGGGACTGCACGCTACTGTGGGCGGGTGTTGTCCCTGCCCAGCGGGGTTGACTGTGGGTTGACTGGGTGACTAGACCCAGCAAGCCAGTGGACGGCACTGTCCAGTAGAAACAGAAATACAGCTGTTCCAAATTTTCTAGTAGCCACTTGAACCACTGAAGTTAACTTTAATAAAATATTTTGTTCTGCCTCACATAGCTAACACATTACCTAACATGTCATCGATATAAAGATTATTGAAGGGTATTTTACATTCATTTTTTCATCTTCAGTTGTCAAAATCCAGTGGTTTTTTTTTTTAATTTTATTTATTCGTACAGAACTGGGGTACAGGCCAGAGATGTGGAGAGTGAGAGGATTCACCAGAGACAGAGTGGGGAGCAGAACAGGCAGATTGACAAAGTACCGTGCTGAGGGGAGCAGCGGACGGGTCAGGAGAGGTCTGCCACGCCATGTGATCACCTCCGGGGCAGGCGGGGATCGAACTCATGCGGAAGTGGCTTAAGATTCTCAGTGCTGTGCTTTAACCCGCTGCGCCACCAGGGAGGGCCTAAAATCCAGTATTTTTAATACAGCACATGTCAGTTCAGACTGGCTACGTTTCAGATGTCAGTAGTCAAAGCTAGCCACTACTCTAGTGGATGAGGTAGATACAGACCATTGCCCTCATCACAGAAATTTCTACCCCACAGAACCTGCAGTCACTAAAGCTGAGAGTGTACTTCCAGACCACGCAGCTCAGGAGTCAGATTCAAGCGCCTTGGGTGTGCCTCCATTCCTCTGCCGCCCACTCTGTGTGTTTGATGCACGGACTGTACCCTTACTCCACGGCCCTGGTTTCAGCGTGCTTCCTGCAGAATGCTATTACCCCATCACACTCCCGCACTTAGCCCCTCAAACAGCAGTGGCACGAGCATTCTTCACCCAGGGGATCGTTTTGCTGGGACATAAATACAGGAGCAGGATAAGAGGATTTTAGGATTTCAGGTATTGAATCCCCCAAAAGCTTGCAAATGGCTGATGGCGACAGTTTCAAGACCCCGGCAGAGACGAGGGCTCTGTTCCCGTGCTCTTATCTAGTTCTTTGCCCTTCTGATGGGCATGATTCTTATTTGAACTTGCAGTTACCTGATTACACACGGGTTTGGGCGTCTCTATAAAGCTGCTGGCCACGGAAAGATTTCTTTTCAGAGTGGCTTCGTCATCTTTTGTTCCATCTTCTCCTTCCTGGCCAGGATGGTCATCTTATTGCCCTCCCTTGAGTTAGCCTAATCTTGGAATGTTGACCAATGCAATGTGGTTGAATTGATTCTCTTGGACCCCTAACCCAGGTATTCAGGAGCCCAAGAGATCAGCTTTTGCCTTCCGAGAAGCCCACTGTCACCTGGAGAGATTCACTCTTGGATAACCCATGTGACCCCACAGCCACTGTGGGCCACAGCCACTGTGGACAGTCCAGCTCCCACTGAGCGCCCTGGTCGCACATGGAGAGCTGAGACCCTCATCCAAGTGCAGAGACCGGAGCTACCAAGAGCTGTGTTGCAGGTGCGGTGAGGCTGCTTTGTTATGTAGCCAGAGGCCCCTCCAATGGGTGTTTTGCTTTATAACTATTCTCCTGGCTTCCGGCTCCTCTATATCCCAGACATGAGTCCTGGGTGTGTGGCCAATGACTGCACCACCCCAGCCAGCACCCTTCCTCCCACACCACATGGGCACATGGCTGATTCTTTCCAGTTTCAGTCCAGTGCCGCCTCCTCAGAGAAGCCCTCCCTGACCACCAGCTAAAATAGCCTCTGAGTCAGTTTGTCACATCAGCCAGCCTCATTTTCCTCTAAGCTCACATTATGACCCAGGCATTTAATTTGTTTATCTGCCTCCTGCCTTGGCTCGAATACAAGTTCCATGTTGTGGGCACAGTGAGCCAGCACCTAACAGGTTCTAAATAGATGACATTAAATAAATAAGTGGGAGAATGAATAAACAAGAAAAGAATGAATTAAGCAGATCCTAGATCAGAGCGTGACACTGCTTTCTTAAAAATCCCGGCCTGGATTCATTTAACAAATATTTACTGGAACCTTGTACAAGCTAGAGGCTATCCTAAGCACCAGAGTTATAGCACTGGACAAAACAAAGCTTGTATTTCAGTCAGTTTATATTCTAGAGGGAAATTAGTAGGCAATAAAGTAAATAATACAGTGTCCTGACTAATACTAAGAAGAATGTGCAGCGGGTAAGGGGAAGGAGAGTGACAAGGGTGATACTGTAAGTCAGATGCTTGAGGAAGTTCCTCCCCGAATGTGACATTTGAGCAGAAACTGGAACAGAATGCGACGGGCACATATTTGGAAGCAAAGCGGTAAGGGAACGGGGAGAGCATGTGCAAAGGCCCTGAGGCGGGAGAGTTTGCGTCAGCAGCACAGAAAGGAGACAGCAGTAAAGAAGTGATGTCGGGAGCCCACTGGTGTGGAATCCCCACCTCAGAAACTTGGGGCTTGGCAGTGTGTCCAGAAAGGCAAATAACCGCCAGGCCCGGCGGTGATTAACATTCTTTATTGCGTAGCATTTTCAATCGGTATTTGAAATCATAATTCATCTGGTGACACGTCCCCTGGGCTTCTCTGAGGATGGACTTCTCCTTCCTCCACTCCCACAGGAGGCCACCCCTCAATTCCCAAGGGCTAAATACTGAAGCACTTGCGTGGGAAGGAAGTGGGGCTCATCTTCCAACTGGGGGGGCCTGTCCTTCCTCCTTCCCCCACCCTCGTCAGGGAAACATCACCATTCACTGGCGCTTTGCCCAGAACAAACGCAGAGCCTGGGCACCACCTCCCAGGCACCCCTCCCTCAGAGGCCTAGGAAGGGGAGCTGAGGCTAGGCCCCTTGGGCGGCGCCTGTTCTGTCGCTGGGTGCACCGGCCACTCAGTGGCCAGACCCCTCCTGAGGGCCACTGGCCCCGTCTGGTGCGGTCCCTGGGGAAGCCAGGAAGGACTACATCCTCCCGGCCAGCCCCACCAGCCCAGGCTCAGGGGAAGCCTCGGCTTGCCCCCGTGGGAGAGGATGGCTATCTTTTGCCAGCCTGAGGTATTTCTAAGTCCCCAATTTGGCTTTTGACTCTTCTCCCACCTCTGAAAAACTGTGCTTTGGGGAATCTGACATGCTTACCACTGCGGGGGAGGGGGCGCTGGGAGGCGGGGACCAGTCCCCGGAACCAGAGGCAACTGCAGCCACCAAGATCCCCATAGCAGAAGGCTCCTGGCCTGGTTCCAGGAGTATGGCCAGACTGAATCGGAATAAACGGGAAAATCCTAAAAGCATGAGCAGTGGTGTCAGCTGGGTTTTGAGAACCCCCTGGTGTGCTCAGAACCCAGAGAAACAGCAGGGAGCTTCTGCCTATCCCCCCCCCCCCCCCCGCAGCTCTGGGGAGTCCTCTGTCACTTCCTGTCCCGGGACTGAAAGTGGCTCTGGCTGCAGGGTGACAGCAGGGATAACAGTCACCAGTGGGCACGGAGTAGGTGGCACACCGCCCAGCTGTGATCAGCTGGCACAGCTGCACTGCAGCACCACAGCTGCTAACGCCTCTCTGAGGAAACTGGTTCCTCCAGAGGGCATCCTGGTGGGGTGCTGGCTGTGGGGGATGTCAGCTTTGCCCCTAGAACGGCCCCCCCACCCCAGCCGTCCAGACAAACGCCATTGCAGATTCGCTTATTATGGCCACATGGCATCCTAACCACAGGACAGCTCAGAGATAAAGGAGCTTGTCTCCCCGGCAGCAGGTCTGGGAGAAATCCGGGCCCTGAACTGCAGGAGAGAGGAGGAGCCGGTGCCCTAGATATGAGACTGAGAACCCCTGGGGGTCACCCTCGCTTGCTGCAAACTGGATCACAGAGAGGGCTGCCTGACCGTCCTGTGGGCCCCAGAGGCGGCTGATGGCGAAGGCCTCCGGGCGGGCCCCGCCCGCCCTAAGAGTGTCCCCGACGGGACTCAGAGGGTCCGAAAGGTGTCGTTGGCCCAGGTGGACGGCAGTGCTGTGACGTTGGCCGAGTGGCTGTCGGCCCAGTCTGGGAAGGTGCCCAGCTGAAAGATGGCCTGTGCCCAAGTATTGATGGCCAAGCTGAGCAGCAGGACGCCCATCAGGTTCATCAGGAGGCCTGTCCGTGCCTGAAACAGAAGCCAGCCCCCGAGGTGGGACAAGCCCAAGGTCAGAGACAGGAAGTCACTCGCTTGCCATCTCAGCTTCGACACGAAGCCCCCCATCTTTGCCCTGCCCCAGGCTGACCCCATGTCCCATCCCTCAAGTGGTTTCTGGGGCTTCTGCTTCATCCTTGCAGTAGCCACCGGGCCATGGCATCAGCCCGGCAGCACACCTAGGGTGCGGTCTGCTGTGCTTCTCTCCGAAAGACGCTGGACACTGCCAGGCAGCTGGCCACACAGACGGGAAAGACGCGTGGCCAGTGGAGAGGGGTCTCGATCCCCGAAGCCTACCGAGGAAGCGGTCACTAGGCAGTGTGTTCTGAAAGCGTCTCGCCTCCCCGCCAGACTGTGCAAATGTATCTCCTGGTCCCACTCAGAAGGACCAATTCAGAAATGGGGGGTGGTGAGGGGACACAGAGGCCCCGCCTGGGGGCCTTGCCCACCAGCTGGTGTCCACCTCCTTCTCTGGGCCCCGGCTAGAAAGTGCCCAGACTCACCATGTCTTTCACCAGCAAGTGTCCGGAGGCGAAGGCGATGGAGTTGGGGGGCGTCGACACTGGGAGCATGAAGGCGTAGGAGGACCCCACGGTGCCGGGAATCATGAGATAGAGAGGGTGCACCCTCAGGCGGATGGCCTGGCGAGGGAGATGGCGGAGCAGTCACGAGGCGTCCCGGACAGTGGCAGGCCGTGACACAGAGGCAGAGGCAGAGGACAGTGGGAATGATGGAAGACAGGGGCGGAGACGCCCTGGGGATGTGCGCACGGGGTCTCCAGGGCAGCGGAGACAGAAGACAGACTTGAGCAGGCCACAGCACAGGAGATGCATGCCCGAGGCTCGTGCCCCCCTGAGCCACTGCGCTTCATCCGAGGGGAACGGGCGGGGACACCGACCCAGACTCATCTAGAACCCTCCCCTGACTCAGGGGCATCAGCTGGAGAGCTTGTTGAAGCACAGCTGTGGGCACTCCTCACCCAGAATTGCTGGCCCGGCAGGCAGGGTGGCCCCACGACTTGGCATTTCTAACAAGGCCCCCGGCGCAGCAGCTGCTGCTGACCTGGCTTCCCAGCTGAGGCCGCACTCAAATCTCAAGCCCCTGTGGGTGCTGCTCCCCACCCAGCAGCCGGCCTCCAGGCACCTGGGGGAGGCCGCATGGATGTCAGCGATAAGAGCGGAGAGCACCCGCACAGGGCCCAGGCGTCTGTGGCAGGCCCCAGTTGGCAGGCCGTGGGTCGGCCTCTCTCCCCAGCGCCTGGTCACCACAGTTCGTGCGGCTCATTTCTCTGGCGTTTTACTTCAGATGGGCCTTCTCGGTCCTTTCAGGAAATTTTGCAACCCAAAGCATGGAAATTTTCTCAAAAATCCCTAGGCCCTCCCTAGTGGCGCAGTGGGTTAAAGCACAGCACTAAGAAGCTGAAACCACTTCCACATGAGTTCGATTCCCGCCTGCCCCGGAGGTGAACCACATGGCGCGGCAGACCTCTCCTGACCCGCCCGCTGCTCCCCTCAGCAGTGTACTTCGTCGATCTGCCTGTTCTGCTCCCCATTCTGTCTCTGGTGAAGTCTTTCGCCGCCCCTGAGTCTCTGGCCTATAACCCAGTTCTGTATGCATAAATAAATAAATCAAAAAAAAAAAAATCCCTAAAGTCTCCCCCCACCCCTTTGTGTGATGTTGGATGACAAGCAGCGTTTTGTAGAAAGTAGCCTCTGCCAGTGTCTGCTCCAGCAAAAGCAGTCCCTGCAGGCCAGGCCGGGCCGCCCTCCTGCCCCAGGCACCCCTGTGGCCCACTCTCAGCTGCAGGCCCCTGCAAGAGGAGGTAGCACCCTCCCCCCAGCGACCTTTGGGGTATCCATTGGTCCACTTGGAAGGGTGACTTGGAAATGCTGTGATCTCAAGTGGGGAGTGCAGTGCTAGGAATGGGTCAGACGAAACTGACGTTGCAAAGACACAGAAGGTCAAGGCAGCCCTGCTGGCCAAGAGCTAAGGCCGGACACGGCCCGCGTGCGCCAGCAGCCATCAGGGCACCCAGAGCGTCTCAGCCATTGACAGAGTCCTCTCCAGCAATTTGTCTCTTCCTAGAAAACTCACCTAAGGAGCACCTGGAAAATAACTACTATTTCATGCATTTCTTGAAGAAAGATACCAGCATTAAAAAAAAAAATCCTGCCTCTGCGGCTTCCATGAGTTTTGGAAGAAGCAGTGACTCCCAGCTCCCAGGGGGCTCCAGGAGCCGCCTGGGGGCGGGCGCCCCTCTTCCCCCGCCCCCCAGGACGCTCACCAGCTCTGCCAGGACCGGCAGGAAGATGATGATCGTGGCCGTGTTGCTGGCAAATTCGGTGAAGAAGGCGATGACCACGGTGATGAGCAGCACGGCCAGCGCGGGGGGCACATTCTCCAGGGGGTGCAGCTGCCCGCCGATCCACGCAGATAGCCCCGACTCCTGTGGGGGGCAAGCACACCTCTTCACACCCCAGCGCAGGGCCCAGGGGGTTGGGGGTCCTGGCCGGGAGTGACATGCCGACCCTCACCGACAGGGGGCGCAGTGGCCGCCCAAGGTCACACGTTCCGGAATCCAGCGGCCTCTCCGCCTTTGGACAGGCCCAGGGTCAGACCCCTAGAAGAATCGTTTCTCCAAATCATGCATTTGGCTCTACCCGGAGTGGAAGACAGGCCTGCGCCTCCGTGCTAAGCCTTCCGATCCCTCCCACAGAGGGGCGCCCCCCAGCATCCGTGGACGCCATTTCCAGATTCTAAGGGTGAGCAGGTGCACAGATCTGTGGGCTGCCGGATCAATAGTCGTGGACTGACCGCCTTTCCTGGGGACGGTCACCTACAATTCACACGTCTCCTTCCTCTGACGTGTTGCTGATTTCAGGAGAAAGCTACAGTGAGAACACATGTATTCGTACAAAATACCAAACTTATTCTTGTATGAGATATGTGGCAGTTAGGATTACAATATAGAGCCTATGTGGCACAAAACATGTGGAGGGTGGATAGCAGATGCAACACCGTCAATATGATCATCGGTAGTCAAGATACTGGTGACCAGCGATAAGGATGGTTATTACAACAGCAATATTAACGTTACACTATTTCAACACAAATAGTAACATTCTCGATAATGTATCATTACTATTCATTAGCTTCAGAATCCTGCCTGATGACCTCCTTGCCGCCTCCCAGCCATCCTGGAAGGTGGACAGCACCCTCCCCTGGACAAACCCTCTGCCACTGTGCCTCTCAAGAACATGCCCAGAGGGCTCTCCCTGGTGGCACAACGGGTTAAAACACAGCACTGTGGAGCTGTCTGCAGCACGAGTTCGATCTCTGGCCAGGGAGGTGACCCACAGGGCACAGTAGACCTCTCCTGACCCGCCCACCGCTCCCCTCAGCAGTGTATTTCGGTCAATCAGCCTGTTCTGTTCCCCACACTCTGCTGAATCCTCTCACCATCCGCCACCCCCTGCATCTGTGACCTGCACCCCAGTTCTTGTATGCATAAATATAAATAAAGAAAAAGAACATGCCCAGGACTGGCTGTGCTTCTCTCTGACAGAGCAAGGAAAGGTCAGAAGTTCCTTCAGTTCCTTCCCTGGCCCCAGACCCCAACGGCCATCAACTTTGCAGAATTATCTCCATACTCTCCAGGAATTACTTTATTTACCAGTATCACATGCAAACTCTCCCCTACGTCCGACCTCCTGCCATCAAATGTACCCTTCAACCCCCAGAATTCAACGCACTTTGATTATCCCAAAGAGGCACAGCCATAGAGCAGATTGAGCTCTATGCTACCCCCTGGTGGTGCCTTTCAGCAGAGCCGCCCTACAGCACAGGGGCGCTTCCTGTGGCCGGATGGTTTTCTCAACAACAATCTGGCTTTTGAGCTGATCCAGTCTTCTAACCTTTGGAATCAGGGCTAGGTTACCACACTTTTCATCACACTTTCTACCAACCCAATGTCTTCTAGTGCCAAAGCAGTTTACCACTAAGACTATGCATTTCTTTTATGCTTAACAGAAAGTTCCCTGCGTATCTAGAACTTAACATTTCATAATGGATTCTAGAATACAGCATACTATTTCTACATACATAAAACATTACACTTGCCAATTTAATTTAATGAACAATGAAAAAAATTATTTATTTATTTATGTATTACAAAAGTTTATTTTTACATCATTTTGTACTTTTTTT